CATGAGGTTTATGTTGACCCCTGCTCAGACACAGATTTGAAAAGCTGGGAGGAGGGGTATTCTGAGTTAATGCAGAGAAGTGGGAGGGAGGGGTTCTCATGGGGTTTCATGCAACAGCTGTCTGCTCTGAAACATCCTTTGGAGGACTTAGCCTTTTTCCATCAACTGCAAAGAGCACATGGAAGATGACTAAACTTTTACTTTGTGAATGCCACCTTTCCTCATCGTCTTTAATGGCCTCTGAGTACAGGTACTTGCATTTGGACATTTTTTGTTACTTAAGACTCTCAGTTTATGAAAGTTTATGAATTTCGACTTGAAGGAAGTAGGTTCTGAAATGAGAACCATTCAACAAGCGATTTCCTGGAGAAAAGAAGTATTGCAGGGGTGTTATACTGCACCAGTGTATGCCTCAAGTCCACTGCTCTAGAGGAAACATGTCAGTCTTAATATTGTCCCACAGAGAAACTGGTAGCTCTGAATCACCCCCAAGAAAATCAGTTCGTTTTAAGACTTGTCAATAAACTGATATAAGAATCTCTTTTTCCAGGATAAAGATTTTTTTTGTAATTATATGGCACCTTACTTTTTTTAATCTACTTTAAAACCGATAGTTAAAATGAACAAATCTTACTAAAAACATGGTGTGCATCTCTTAAATAATGCACAGAAGGTAAATCCTAGAGCAATGGTGTCTGAGTGACAGGACAGAGGATTACATTCACTGGTGAAAAGGAAGGATACCAAAATGAGATGCTTTGCCACTAAAGAAGGGATTTGAAAAGAAGACTAAATGCTAGGTTCTAAAGAGAAACAAAGCTCTTTAAAATGCTGTTAGAAGAAATGATAATTGAGGAGACATGAATGTGGCTGAACAAAAGGACACCAGGAAAGCAGGGAATAAATCCAAATTCAATTTTTCAGGATGCTGTTCGAGCAATAGCGAGTCTTCGTGATTTAGAAATCTGACCTAACACAAACAAGGGCAACTGAACACTCGCAGGCGGTGTGTACAAGATTACATGAGCTGTACTGGAATGTGAAGAGCAAATGCTTACACAATTGCAGTTAGTTTTATGTGTATATCAGAAACATGAGAACTCAAAAAAACTGATCTGATATTAATAAGATTCCTAATGAGACAAATTATCATTTTGGATCAGTTTCCATTTAAGAGGCTGTTGGGATGGAGGCCTGTAAGGATGCTGGGGAGGGACACTTCATTAGGGACTCTAGTGACAGGACAAGAGGTAACGGGTTAAAACTTAAACAGGGGAAGTTTAGCTTGGATGTAAGGAAGAAGTTCTTTACTGTGAGGGTGGTGAGGCACTGGAATGGGTTGCCCAGGGAAGTTGTGAATGCTCCATCCCTGGCGGTGTTCAAGGCCAGGTTGGACAGAGTCTTAGGGGACATGATTTAGTGTGAGGTGTCCCTGCCCATGGCAGGGGGGTTGGAACTAGATGATCTTAAAGTCCTTTCCAACCCTAACTATTCTATGATTCTATGCTGCTGCCTGGGGATTGCATGTTCCTGGAATTGACGATGAGCTACTCTGAGAGGAGAAAAATACAGAAACAAAATGGAGATTGAATTGTTGTACATTATGAGATCTAAATAGTACAGAAAATCTGGAGAGTTTGTAGTGTCTTGCTCTACGACACCTTTTCCAAATGTTCGTAGCCAGTGAAGGGTCTGGAGCACACGTCTTAACAGGAGTGGCTGAGGGAACCAGGGGAGTTTAGTCTGGAGAAGGCTCAGGGGGAACCTTACCACACCCTTAACAGCTACGTGAAAGGAGGATGGAGTGAAGAGGTGACTGGTCTCTTCTCCCAAGTAACAGGTGATAGGACAAGAGGTAATGGCCTCAAGTTGTGCCGGAGGGGTTAGACTGGATGTTAGGAAAAATTTCTTCACCAAGAAGGTGGTCAGGCTCTGGAATAGGCTGCCCACGGCACTGGTGGAATCACCGTCCCTGGAAGTGTTCAAAAGCATGCAAATGAGGCCCCTAGTGACATGGTTTAGTGGTGGTCTTGGCAGTACTGGGGTTGGACTTGATGATCTTAAAGGTCTTTTTCAACCTAGTTGATCCTATGATTCTATTCTAAGGAAGACTGGGATAAGGAGGGTAATGTTGGATCACCTCACATTTTCCCTAGCACAGTAAATCACTTGATAGGTAAGCCTATCTTTATTCATGGCTATGCTGCTTAATCTCCATGTTAGGAATTGTGCTTATTGCAAAGGGTCATGGAATTTTGTTAGGAAAGCTGGTGGGAGCAGAGACAATAGGAGGTCAGTGCACAGTAACAGCCAGCCCCACACAGCACACGCTTGGTAAAAAACTCTAGCTTTACTTCCCAGGTCCAGCTCCCTTTCCTTTAGGTTGCAGGCTTGAGAGTATAATGTCTATTCACTGAATACTAAGAAACTAACACAGCAATTATTAACAACAACACAACTACAAAGCTAAATAAAATTCTTAAAACTTGCAGATTACACCCAATGATATTGCATTACAGTCATCCCTCGTCATCTCCCCACTGCCCAGGATCAGGGTGCAAGCCTACCCTCCTCACTCCATGCTCCCACATCAGGTAGTTTGGGCAGGGAGTAGTTTTGATGAGGAGTCCAGCAGGATGGCCCTCCTGACACAGGACTCTGCTGTATTGCTCATGCGAAAGGAATTTACTCCTTACAGGCATCTAACCACTGTTTCACTGTTGCCAGCAGTTGTGCTTGGTACAATAAATAGCCAGGCATACTGTTTAGTTGAACACCTCAGAGGTATTTTCTGTTGGTCTGGCAGTCCCTTTTGGCATGTGCCACTGCATCAGATAACCATCCCAAGCTTGTTACCAAATTACTTTCTATAGGCTTCAAAATTCAATTCCCCATCCCCATCTTCCTGAGTTTAGCTGAGAGGATTTCAGTATCAAAATAATTTAAGATTGTTATATGTCAAAGGGGCCCATAGATTCTATACTGTTCCATGACATTTGCCAAGCAGCCAGTATGCCAGGCAGGCAGTACAGAAGAGGCAGCACGGTCCAAATGTCTTCCAGAATAATTAATTTCTGGCATTCTCTATTTTTGACATTCCCTATTTCATTCCATACATTAGCGGATCAGTATGCTCAGTGTCCCAAACTAACCTGCAGCACATGCAGGCTGATGTAATTGTGTCCCTCTAGAATTACTTTGGTTGCAAAGGTACCCCACAGAATCCATGCAGCTTCTGAACCTGCCCCATATTGTGCTCAAATACAAAACCCCTAATGTACTTGTTTCTTTTTTGCTTATTCCACACCCTTTTAAAAGTAAAATCAGTTACTTTTAAAAGTACTGTTAACACATACTCATTAGTTGGACACCAAGCATTTGAATCAGTTCCCATTGTCTTGAAGATGAATGTTAAAATTCCCTCAAGATCTTGAGGGAAAGCACATGCCAGCAGCTGTTGCATGTTTTTACAGCTTTAACAAATAGAATGAAGATCAGAGGAGCTGGAATACTTTAACAATATTCCTGATGTGCTGACCAGCACATGAGCCCAAGATTTTCCTAGATCACATTAAATCCAAAAGGCTTTGTGCTTGTCAATACTTCTCTGGAGTGACTGGGCTTTATAACCGAGATGCTGTCCATGTAACCAGTCGCTCCTCCAGGTCTCTGTCAAGAATGACGAGGCCAAGCTGTTCCACCAGTTCTCTCCCTTTCCTGTAATCCCCTTCTTTACCAGTTCTTGCTACATACGATTTTGCAAATCCATTCCTTACCATCCTGATCCTGCTCCCACATTCTAGCATCCCCACACACTTGGAGCTGATCCCAAAGTGATCCCTCTGTGGTCCCTGGGCAGAGCTCCATGCACCACAGTTACTCTGTATATGTCAAAATCTGTGGTCACTGCTTCTTCCTGCTCTAATACCCAGCTGAACACACACACACTTGACCACACACAAGCTGCTGACACTTGGGCATTTGTCTGGGCCATCCTTTCCCATCAGCTGTTAGAGGCTCACAGTCTTCTCAACCCCTGATCACTCCTCTCAGTATTTTTCCATCATCTCATCAGCAGGCAAGGCCATAACAATCGACCCTGCCTCCTGCAAAGGCACTGCTCTCACCCTACCACCCCCTTCTCCTCTTCACACTCAAATATGCGATCCCGAAACGGCCCACCCACACCAGCCACCTCCTTTGCTGGTTTCTCCAGGCCCGCTCCTTCCGAGGCACCGCTCTCCAGTGCTGCTCAAGCCTCACCCTTCGCCCTGCGGGGTTTGTATTTCCAGGGGCTCCAGGCCCGCCAGGCCTATCCGCGTCAGCCTCGGGAGCCCCGCTGGACCCTCCTGTTACCACCAGGTGGCGCCGGAGCCCCGCGGAAGCCGAGCCGGCGCCGGGACAAGAACGCCCAGCCCAGACCCCTCCGGTTCTGGAGAGAAATTTTTGCCGTGCCACGGGCTGTGCCAGCCCCGGGATCCTATCGACAGCAATTCTGTAGTAAGGCTAAAAATAGCAACCGTTAAAAACGTTCAAGAACGTCCGCCTTCAAGGGGACCAGTCCCGCAAAGCAGAGCCCCGGCGGTGCCTTTCTGGATGGTCGTTGGTGCACCCGCAGCTGTCAGGCGTTAACTGAAGTTCAGAAAACAGCCCTCAATTTATTTATAAGTAAATACTCGTTGCACCACCCAACAAGCTGTTTGAGCCCTGTAAGTGCTCAGTGAGCAGGGAGAAGTAACAGCCTGGCAGGGCCCTAGGTATGGGTGCCTGCACCCACCCGAACACCTCGTGATAGACACCGACTCACACGGAACCGCAGACGGGCGACGCTCAGGGTTTTTATGGCTCGAGGAGGATCCCGCCCAGAAACAGCCCTGCCAGTGCAAACACCACGACCGACCCGTTCTGCGAGCGCAGTATCCGCTCTCCTCACTCCCTACGGACTGCACGCTGAGGCCTTTCGGCGCCCGCGGTAAGGAGGCGGTGGCGGACGCTGGAGCCGCCTCTATCCCGCCCACTGCGGCCCGCCCAGGGCCTTCTCGCCCGCCCGCCCGGGGCCGGCTTTGCAGCAGTGGCTGTAGCTGTAGCCGCCGACGCCCGTGGGAGCGCCGGCGCTGATGCCTCCTGCGGTGGCCCGGCAGGGAAGATGGCGCCGTCCCACGTCCTCAAGTGTTGCCAGAAAGTGCTGGCCTGGGTACCCGTGGCCTTCATCGCCCTGGTCGTGGCCTGGTCCTACTACGCCTACGTGGTGGAGCTGTGTGTGTGTGAGTGGACGGCAAGGGTCGCGGGCGCCGGGGGCTGCCAGCCGGGCGGGGAGGGTACCTCGCCACTCGCCTGCGCCGGGGCCGCTTCCCTGCGACCCGGCGGGTTCTTTTTCCGTTTGCCCGCTTCAGGCTTTCCCTCAGGCGGGCGAGAGAAGACACCCCTTCCCATCCTTAGGCGCCTGCTTCCTTCGGGGATGGGTTTACCTGTTGTCCACTCTCCTCAGGCGCCCTCCCCGAGCCGTGGGTGAGCACGCTGGGAGCCCGCCTTCGGGCGCCTCATGGCGCCGGGGACCCGGCCGGGGGTCGCCTGTGGAGAAGCGAGAGACGGGGGAAGAGGAGGCTCAGGAGGGGAGTCCTGGTCGCTTAGTTTGGAGACAGTCTGCTCAGGGAGGTGGTGAGGGGCAGGGACCGCAGCAGGGTCGGGCAGTCCTCTCCGCAGCCCTGTGGGGTCTCTTCCCCTCATGTCTCCCCGGGAGAAGTTTCCCCTATTTTTTTTGTTATTACTCCGTCTTCCTGTTGTATCAGATAACTCTGATGACTTTGTAAGTGTATTTATCCCCCCCCCCCTTTGCTAATTAAGAAGTCCAGTGTCACTGAAGCTTAATGAGGCTGAAACCATCCCACTTTAGCGGGCAGGAGAAAGGATTTAAGGCTTATGGGGTTTTGTGAGACTGCGTCAAGGCTTTCTGGACGAGGGCTCAGCGTTATGTAAATCTGGCTTGCAGGAGGTGTCAGTCAGGGTATTTACCCTTTTCTGTCTTCAGGAGCATGTTGACTTTCTCCGGGCAGGGTAAACAGAGTGGAACAGCGATGCGCCTTATTTGTCAGACTTAGTTTTCCTACACTGTTTTCAAGTTTGAACAAGGAACCCCTTACTGTTTGGCATGTTTAAGTAAGGAAGCTGAAACGAACAAAAAACCTTGAAAGTATAAAGAACTGTTTCGAGCTACATACGTCTATGTAGTGTCTGTAGGCCCTCATACTTCTTGCTATTAGTATAAAATATGTGCTCTGATAGCCCTAGCTGTAAGTAAAAGGCTTGCATATGCTTTCTATCTGGGCAACCTTGCAAAGATATCCTTCCATTAGAAATAATCAGTTAGGTTTTTTTGTTTTGTTTTTTTTCTGCAGGACTTGGGGTGTTAAGATAACTTTTCAGAATGCCCATGATATTTCACAGCCTTTTGTGTTAGCTTAATGTGGACTGGAACTCAAACCACAGTTACTTGGACTTAAAATAGTAGAAATGTAATTGTAAAATAACACTTGTTGAGGTATTATGCAAAATGTTGAAATGAGAGAGTTGCAAATATGTCAGTGTATCCAAAACTTTGCAGATTATTGTGGTTTAGGTGTCTGTGCAAGTAAATAATACCAGTTTTCTGGGAAAATCATGCTTGCAACTATAAACATTTGGAAACAAGTTCTAGACAATATTTTAATACTGATACCAGAGTTTTAATAGGTCTGTGGCATGGGAGGTTGGAGTAGTCCTGGGAGGGGCTTTGTGAGGTTATAGACTCGCATTGTACATGTCTGAAAGTTTTCTGGACCCATTACAAGCTAACTGGTATGACAAAGGCAGATTAAGACTATGTGTTTCTTCTCTTAATGAAAGAATGAAACTCATCCAGAGTCTCACAGGTGGTCACTGGCTGAATTGGGAACAGAACCTTGCCCTCCCAAGTTCCAGCTGAGTCTCTCGATCATCTAGTGGGTCAGGGCTGGATGCTGGTTAATAGTTTTTCCTTTCCAGGCATAGAGATACTGCAAAGAGCCCTTCAGAGCTCATTAGGGTTTCATTTGTGTGAAAATTACTGCACAGGTTGGCTCCTGTTTATGCAAGAACTTTCACATCTATAAATCAGGTTTCTAGACATCTGAAATTTTCTGCTCACAAATCAGCTTCTTTCTTAATGTCTGCACATACAGACTATTAAGGAAAAAAGTGGTCATTCAGTAAGAAAATTACTGATTTTTATTGCTGTCACTGAATTTTACTGTTGTTACCTGTCTAAATCATGCTTGGTGACCAAGGATTTTATTTTTCTTTGAATTTTTTTCTGTTGAAGATTTTGCGGTAGGGTTTTTTGTTTTTTAACCTGTTGAATTTTGTTTACACCTCATAAAAGGTCATCACGAGAGAGGAAACGGGTTTGTAGTTGGGTATTTTTGGTGGTGGTTAGGTTTTTTTGTGTTTTTACTTTATGTGCTTTTACACTGCTGTTGAGTTTAAACCATTATGGAGAAGATTTATAGCAAAATGCAGTATTTTCTGGTTCTTGACAGGTGTATTTACTATCTCCCAGTGCGGCTTATGTTTTATTTTTGTTTGAGAACTAGTGCACTATGTACTATGACAAAGAGCAAGGATGTGCCCTTAGCACACAGCTAATTAATGTGGCGACACTTGTCTCTGCAGAAGTTCACGTACAGTGGGTGCAAAAGCAAGTCTTACGGCCTGTTGAGCTTCTGTGGCTCTGGCAAAGGGCACAGTGTGCAGCTGATGTGTGCCTGGGTAAAGGAAAGACAGAGGAAGCGAAGCTTTAGAAAAGAGCAGACGCAATAGAAGATTTTGAGTAAATACTGAGAGTAAAAGAGAAATTGAAACTGCACAGACCAGACACCAGTGTTTTTGGTTTTTTTCAAGGATTATTCTCAAAGATTAGGTAACTATTAAGGCATGAAGCTAACAAGGAAACAGGAAGAGAGAAAAGCCCTCTTTTCCAACTATTTTTTCTGATTTTTTTTTTTTTCTCCTTGTAGTCCCTACTCATATGTTACAAGTTAAACATATATATTCAGTTAGTAAATCAAGTAGCAAGTCAATGTAGTATCATAAAATATTACTAATAAAGTAAAAGATAGTAAAATTGTGCTGATTCTTTCATCACATCACCCTTTTTTTTTCAGTTTTGCTTCTTTGCTGCTTGCCCCACCCTCCTCTGCTGGAGTGTTTACATGTTGCTTAATGTCTCGCTTTTTTTGTCTTACTCTGTCATTCACTACTAGTATGTATTTACTTGATTATGCTTCTTCTATAACCCTAAATTATATTACTTATATACTGCCTGTGAACATAGGGGATGACTGGTGTGGATAAGATGAAAGGAGATTCATAAACTCGCCTATTGTTTTCCTCCGATGGAAACTGCCAGCTTGGTTATAGCTCTCTGAAGCACAACAACCAGCTGTTGTATGCTGGTGAACACTGGCTTATTTAGGCCACTGTTGCTGTCTAATTGTGATCTATCAGGTAAATTGGCTATTAAGCTAATTGGAAAGGTGAAAACAACCATTTGTCACCAAATGTGTGAAAGCTGAGGGGATGTCAGAGTTGAAAAAATCTTTGAGCATGTCTAACTGAAGGAACTGCAAAAGACTGAAGGCAACATCCCATTCAGATTTCATTTTAAATGTTTTGAAGTAGAAAAACATGAATGAATACCTTCTTCCTAGTTTTTTTTCTTCTTTTCACACATAACTTGCCCAGAGCTCAGTTTGCAAGAAAACACACGTAGAAATGCGTGAAGGATGTTATAAAATAGCTTTTCATTAGTTTAAATCAATTTCATGTGTTCTTTCTTGTTATCAAAACATGTTTTGCTTTTAACATTGCCTTTGTAAACAATGGCTATATTATGCTGTTAGTGAATTGGACTGATTGTGTCCGCTTAGCACATCCCTCAGAAGCCCAGAAAGAGTTGAGCTCTTCTCTCATGGTTTGTTTTCACTTATGGCTGACTTGTGTCTTGTTGCTTATCCCAAACATTCTTGTAGGTGATGGGCTGTAATACAGACTGGCTAGAGGCTGGTCAGAAGACACTGTTCAGACACAAGTGATAGGAGTTGGCTGGTAAAGCCAGCCTGTTTCCTTCAGGCAACCCTTTTACTAAAACACTGGTACTGCAGTCTGCACTGAGAAAAAGAGATTTGACTTTGGCTGAGTTGTCTGCAGGTTGTAGCTAGGATCTATTGGCTGGTTTTATTAAAAAAAAAAAAAGTTCAGGTTAGGGTTTTACTTCTATAGGAAGAACTGTATGTTCTGAAAAGCACCATCATGGCTCTTATCCTGGGCCGAGAGTTGTAAGGAGAATGACTTGGTTTATGGATTTGCTGGTCTTGTAAATGTATGACTGTTTTCATGTCCCAAACTCCACAAAGTATGGAAAAACATGATTTTGAAAGCTAAGGGAGTAACTAGTTCTGTGTTCTTTTCATAGCATCTATTTGCAGAAAGGTTTGCTTTTTTTAATCATGTCTAACGTCTCTAAAATCCTGGCAAACGATGCAGTATGTCATTTAGAATATGTAACTTCATGTTAACTGGTACAGACTGAGTTACTACTGTTCCAGGAGGCCACAGTAGCTCTTGTCTGTAGGGAGATAGCTGTGATTTCCCCAAAGCACAGTCCACATGAGAAGCACATGGTGATCTGTTGTAATCTTCCAATTTGAAGAGCGTTGCATAAACAGAGAGAAGGTAATTCCATCTGCTTCTTTCCTAGGAAATCTCTACTGGAAATGCTTATGTAGTAGCTATCAAGCAATGGCAAGGTGATATTAACAGCACTGTGTCAAGTAACTTCTGATTTCAGACTACAGAAAAAGCTGAAGTATCAGCACTATAGTACAACATTTGCATGTTAAGCATGCTAAAAGCATTCCCATAGGAAAAGAAAAGGTTACCTTTCAAGAAAAGGAAGAGCAAATTAAACAGGTTAGATCATTAGTAACGGTTAACTACATGCCTCTTCTGAACTTCCAAATAAAGAAATGGAACTGCTTTGGATGCGCTTAGTTGTTGCTGCAGTGTCTCAGCTCATCATAAATAAGAACCTTTCTGTTATTATAAGTAGAATTCCTGTTAAAGTGCTCAGACTGAATACAAACGTATTGGAAAGCCAGATGCTGGGTTCGAGTAGAAGGATTATCTATGCTCTTGCAGCGCTGTATTGGTCATCTTGATTTATAAGGACGGGTGGGCATGTACCCCTTAT